TGTCACCATGGTGACACTGTACTTCTTGTGGGGGGTGATGAAGATTTTTTTTTTTTTTTTTTTTTAACAGTGATTGCTTTTACACCCAAATAGCATGTAAAAGCAATCATTTCTCCTTCTCTCTGTCTGCATTCTTGCAGCCATTGAGAAATACTGAGTGAGCTGTGATTGGTCACAGCTTGTCACATGGTACAAGGCTGTTGTGAATAGCCTTGTACCATGTGACCTCTGTGATCATTCACAGATTTCACACGTAGTAAGCAAAGCAAGTGACATCTTGCTTACTACTTTGCATGTGATCACTGATTGGCCAATTAGTGATCATGTGATCGGGATCCCGTCCGACAATCGGTGTTTCACTTTGTCCGGAGGACACAGCGGGCACCGGATTGCGGTGCTGCGCGCACCCAGGGAGTGCACACAGCTAGAAATGGCGGGTGCCGTTTATGAACCCGCCCCTAGAGTGCCACCGTCCTGCCGTTTATAAACAGCAGGCGGACGGCAAGTGGTTAAACATGCATGTTCTGTGGAGATGGGGGGGGGGCAGGTCACTGCGTCCTGAGGTTCAACGTATCACCCCATAGGGGTCACTAGGAAAATGCAAGCCAGCAGGGTTATACACCTAACTCTCTTACTTTGTGTGAGCATTAATGCTTTCAGGCTGGAGGGCACTTCACACTGAGGGCCCCAAATACTAGCGAAAGAACAACATTTCAATCAGTGGCTAGGTCTGTTCCTACCTGTCCTGACAATAGGCACCGTAGTATTTTGAAAGAAGTAATTCTGAGTATGCACTCAAGTCCACCAGCTTCTCTCACAGCTGTACACTGCACCTTTCATATATGTGTCTGCTTGAAGGCATACAGGGAAGCCAAGATACTTCACTTTGCAAGGTCTTGCACTTCACAACCCCAGGTTCAGTTCCTAGGCAGGCCATGTACCGCAGTTTGATCCAGTTTGAAGACCCACCCACTAAGTGGAGAATATGAAGCACTACCAGTACCCAGTTGGCTAGCTGACAGCTAGCTAACAAAACTGACAGAAGCAACATTGTGCTTCATTCCAAAACTGAATTTACTTCTGTGAATAGTTCTGTAAAACTGCAATACAATCACATTAACTGAAAGTACAATATGCCATTATACATGTCTCTCACAAATGCATACAATAAACACATTTCTTACAAACAGCTACCTACAAATCACATTGAATACATTGAAATGCGATCTAGCTATGTATGTGACTTTAAAAAACACAATGAAAGAACTTTCAGGCATATGTGTATCAAAGGGAGAACAGAGGAGACCTTCACTGGTGTTCTTCTAGAAGCTAAAAAGGCTGGAGGGATTTATGGAAAATTTTTTCTCTTAAAGCGAAGCTCCACCCAAAAGGGGAAGTTCTGCTTTAAGGACTGCTCCCCCCCCGCTCCCCATTTAGGATTGCAACCTTTGGGGGGCGGGGGGGAGCAGGTACCCGAATTTGACAGGTACCCGCTCCCACTTCCGGTCCGATTCCGATTGCCTAGGTGATCGGAAACGGAAGGTGTCCTCCCTCCCTGTAGTCTTTTGGGACACGTGACAGGTCCCAGAAGACTACAGGACCATTAATGAAGCGCAGCGCTACTCGCGCATGCACAGTGAGTACCAGGCTGTGAAGCTGCAAGCAGTCACAGCCAGGTGTCCACACACTGAAGATGCCGGCCTCCAGGAATACAGGACGGCCGGTGAAACGGGGTGCAGGGGACACACTGCGGGACAGAGGGACAGGTAAGTGTTTTTTTTTTAAAAGTCAGCAGCTACATTTTTTTGTAGCTGCTGACTTTTATTTGTTTGACAGCATGAGTGGAACTCCACTTTAACAAACATGAAACACTTCCTGTTTCAGGGCCAGTTGCAGTGAACACCCAATAGATGGCTCCCTACTCAACACAATGATGCTATACAGAAACACATACAGTGGCTCATAACTACAAGGGTTATCTTGGTAAAATGTGTTACTACATAGCTACACTTCTTTTAATCCCAGAAGGTTAAACATGATTTACCCCCAACTTCCAGTTCTATTGAATACACCCAGTAATAATTCACCTGATTTAAATTCAGATGAGACAATTCTTCATTCTCCAGATTTATCTTCACTGTTTAACATCCCTTAACATGTTGAGGTGGCTTACATTACATAACAGAACAATTCCAAGCATACATAGTCTCTCCTGGCTGTGCAATGCATTTGGCTGTGCTCTGCCCTCTGCTGTGGTCCTGCTCATAACTGATTTTAAAGGATAAGTTCACCTTTTAACAAAAATTAGTAAATTCACTTTTTTTGCAGGTAAAAAAATGTGCATTTACTATTTTTTGCTTTGGGAGCCTGGAAAGCATTGCACCAGCAATGAGCAGATTGCTGATACTATGCAGGACTCCTGCAGACTGTATCTGTATCTGTGTGTATCTGCGTGTATCTGTGTGCTTGTACCGCATATGGGCAAACAGATATACACTGACAAGAAGAATCAATGAACTACCGCAGAGCTCAACAGCGATGTAGTAGTTCACTGAGAACTACAAGCCAACAGCTGAAAAAGCTGTAGGTACTTGCAGCTTTCCCATTCACAGAGTACTGTGAATGATTGATGCGGCTGCTCAGGTGGTGCCCCGAAATTGCACATTTTTTTTTTTGACAGCGGGTGGTGACCAGTTCTTTCATAACATGTTATAATTTACACCATAAATATGGCTGTAACATGTAACATGTTATGAAAGGAGAACTTATCCTTTAAACAAAGTCCATCCATACATGTGAAACCTGTGTTTGGATCTTGCAGAATGGGACTGTAGATCTCCGACAGAACAGTTCACATTATCACACTTTCGGAATCGTTCCTATGCCCTGACTTCCTCTAAGACTACCTTCCCTTGTATATTTGCACTCACACCAGGGAAGTGACACATACACCAGAAGAAATGACTAAACACCTTCTGTCCATCAGTTCCTTGATTACATTTTATCACACCTGCTTCTGGAACAGTAATCAAGTAATTGATCAACTCAGCACAGCTAAAGTCTGCACTATCCAGTGGGTAGCATGGAGGAACATGCTTAACCAAAGAGTTGTCACAGATGTGCTTTTTTACTCAGGTTGATCACTTGCCATCACTCTCTCTGCTCTTGAGAAAGCAGACTGAAAGTGTTACTAAACCCACAACAGTAAAATCAGTCTGTATATGCAGTGAAGCATGCTTTTATACTCACTGTGGAACCTAAGGGGTTAATCCTCAGCATTGAGTAAAAAGGCAGTTTGATCCTGTCTTCTTTGATCTTCCCCTTCTCCTACTGTCCACAATCCATAAGCTGATAGAACAGAGCCTTGTGGGCAAGGTGCACATGCGCAGTTTGGTGTGTGTTAATAGAGAGTTTTTTTTCTTGGGATAGTGCATGTGATCAGCACAGGGCCAATCAAGACTTGTGTTGACAGCACCCTCCCCCCCCCCCCCCCCTGCACAGGTCTTCACTGGGAAGATCAGTATACTGTTTTTTATCCACCTCCTGTTGATATGCCTTCCTTGCAATCCCCACCCCACGTCTCCAATCCCCTTATGCAGCTGAGATCATGTGATCACTTATAAAAAAAAAAAGGTATTTACAGAGCTGATAGTTCCCAACCAACACCTAACTAACTAGCACTGGCTAGGTGCTACATCAAGGACCACACCCTTGATTATAGCACTTTTACACCACTAATATTTTTCTCTTGAGTAGCCTACACTTCACAAATGATCTAACTGGTGCAGAAGTTAGAAACAACATCAGTCAGTATCCTGGGAGAGTCAGCTCATGAAGGATCGCTGCCCAAATTTAGTTGATCATGTGGCAAGTCACTGACGGAAGAGTGTGTTTTGATTTAACAAGCAAAAATAGTTCAAAATACAGTTTATTCATCATGGAGAATTAGATTTTTCAAGGAAGACTTAATGGTCGCCATGAGCTTTATTATATAAATGTGAACAAGAGTGCTAGGAGCCAGCCCCAGGGAAGACAACCTTTCTATGCACATTTACTGCTTTAAAATTGGTTTTAATTCTATCATAAAAAAGAAAACACCAAAACAAAGTAAATTAAATTGTTATTCTGAATGCCATGTCAGTAGACCATTCAAACCTCACATTAAACACTATGAAACTGAACAAGTATGCCTACAACTGAAAGAAATCCAGCATATTATAGTGAATAGTACTCGCCATAGTATTGCATGGGCTTTGTTGGTGACTACTACCCATGGTATAAAGATTTTACATTTGAATAAATACCCTAATATCCTGGCAATGATTTATCACAGAATCCTCCAGTGAAATTAAACACCTACTTGTGAATCAGTAAATATCTTCAGGGAAGTCAGGGGTCAGCAACCTTTTCTATATTTGGTGTCATGATCACAAGCATTAGACAACCAGCATACCAGTAAACAATAGCAAGTTGTAGTCTTAGATTGTTTTCCATTTTTGCACTTATATGTGTACTGCTAATCACAGTTAAATATTATTATACATTTTATATATACCGTATTTTCCGGCGTATAAGGCGACTGCGTGTATAAGACGACCCCCTAATTTTCCAGTTAAAACATAGGTTTTGGGCTATACTTGTCGTATAAGACTACCCCCCTCTGAGGCAACACCATTTAACCCCTAGCCTAAAGGGCACTTATACCGACTTCCCCCCCAGGCCAATTTTCAGCTTTCAGCGCTGTCACACTTTGAATGACAATTGCGCGGTCATGCAACACTGTACCCATATGAAATAGGTGGCACTGATGGGCACTAATGAGGAGGCACTGGTAGGTGGCAATGATGGGCATTGACAGGCATCACCGATGGGCACTGAAAGGCAGCACTGATACATGGCACTGATAGGCAGCACTGATGCGCACTGATAGGCGGCACTGACTGGCACTGATAGGTGTCACTGATTGGCAGCACTGATAGGTGGCAGTGATGGGCATTGACAGGCATCACTGATGGGCACTGAAAGGCAGCACTGATACATGGCACTGATAGGCGGCAATGACTGGCACTAATAGGTGGCACTGATTGGCAGCACTGATAGGTGGCACTGACTGGCACTGATGGGTGACACTGAAAGGCAGCTCAGATGGGCACTGATATGTGGCATTGATGTGCACTGGTAGGCACTGATATGTGGCATTGATGTGGCACTGATGGACACTGACAGCTGGCACTGATGGACACTGACAGCTGGCACTGCTGGGGCTACACTGATCATCAGGGAACACTGATCATCAGTGCCCTGATGATCAGTGTACATGTCCCCCTCCGCAGAAAGCCGATTACCGGCTCTCCTCTCCTCTGTCAGCGTGACAGTTCTAGAGGAGAGAAATGCCAATAATTAACCGGCATTTCCCTGTTTACATGTGATCAGCTGTGATTGGACACAGCTGATCACATGACCGAGCCAACATCTTCAGCTCTTTCTGTGATCGGTGATCCGCTGTGTCCGAGGGACACAGTGCATCGCTGCGCATGCGCGGAGAAAGGGAGGCCGTCATATGAGCCAATCACGGCAAGTGATGTATTCTATTAATGAATACAGAGCCTGCTTGGATTGGCTGCATCAGAGAGGCGGGCTGATAATGTCACAACTTCAGCCAATCCGAGCAGGCTCTGTATTCATTAATAGAATACATCGCTCGCCGTGATTGGCTCAGCGCGGTACAATGTATGTAGCTGAAGCTACCGTACAGTATTACCGCACATCCAGTGGTTCTATACCCGGCATATAAGACGACCCCCAATTGTTGGGGTATGTTTTTAAGTAAAAAAAGTTGTCTTATATGCCGAAAAATACGGTAGATTAAAGTGGAGCTCCACCCAAAAGGCGAAGTTACGCTTCAATGCTTTGTTCCCCGCTCCCCATTTTGGCACCTTTGGGGATCGGGGGGGGAGCAGGTACCTGAATTTGACAGGCACCCACTCCCACTTCCGGTTCGATCGCCTAGACAATCAGAAGTGGAAGTTGTCCTCCCTCCCTGTAGTCTTATGGTCCCAGAAGACTACGGGACCATTCACAAAGCGCAGAGCTTCTTGCACATTTGCAGTGGGCAACCTGGCTGTGAAGCCGCAAGCTGTCACAGCTGGGTGCCCACACTAAAGATGCCGGTACCAGGGAGAGAAGACAGCCAGTGAAACCAGCGGTGGTGAGGACACTGCTGGACTGAGGGACAGGTAAGTGGCTGTATTTTAAAAATCAACAGCTACAGTTTTTGTAGCTGCTAACCTTTTTCTTTACTTAACTTGCTATTACTGTAAAACTATAGGCTCACAAATTGTTAAACCCCATTGCATACACTTCAGAACTTAGATCAGCCCTAATGCATGCACTTCAACCGGCGTCCTCAGATCTGCCCCAATGCGTAAACTTTAGACTTCAGATTATTCCCACACGCTGTAGAAATGTCGTGTATGCTGTAGGCGTGCAAGTGGGCTCATTCTGCATTTTTTATGCCGATGTCCTCAGCCACCGGTGGGATTTCAGGGATGTGGGTAGGTCAAACTATGTGATTGACATCTTTGGCTGTCAAATATATCCAATGGCAGCAGGTACCAATCCAAACAATAAGCACCCAAGACAGGGGTTGGCTGTCTGTTGGGTAACAAGCTTTTAGCATGCCCTTTTACTGTTTTAGATTCTTTGTCTTTCAGACAGTTTTCTTGAAAGCTCCATTATAGCTGGCAACTTCAATAAACTATAACAATTTTATTTATTGATTTGAAGATGTGTAGACAAAAGTCCAGCACTTTGGTGTCTGTCTAGAATGTTATACATGCTTTCCTCTTTCAGCTTTCACAGTAGACCTAACCTCTTTTGACTTCAGTACAAGGGTACATTGAGTGAAATGGAAGACCAGACCATTATCTGTGCTGGTATTACAGTACTGCACATGAATGAATGTTGCTACATTTCATTACAAGAGGATTTGGTTTAAAGTGTAACTAAATCCAAGAACAAAATGTTTATATTTACTGAATGCCAGTTTTCAAGGGTGCATTGAAAAGTATTTCACATGCCGGGCCAGGCAAGACCAGGTTCCACACTCCACAATAACATCTCTGGTGCTGGCTCGGCTCATCTCCTTCAAAGCAATCAATTCTACCTGCAACAGGAATGCCACACACTGAGATGTAAAATAATATTGAGCAAAAACATACTCTGAAGGTAGTTGTGCTGGATTTAGGAACAATGAGGTTGTTTAAAAGGTTTTAAGTCCATTTTCATTCTGTATTTCCCAGAGAAATCAGTCACATTAGCATCTTAAATGTCAGTAAAGTGTATTTAGCTGTGCTGAATAATAAAGTATGGGATACATCTTTTTAAAATTAGGGTAGTCATTTTTCTGTCTTTGCTGCAAATTACCGGTATGTTCCTAAAATGCATGCACAAATAGGACAACTTCACTTTTAGGGCTCATTCACATTCACTACATACATGTGTACAGATAATAGCTTTGTATGCATCTGCATTCAGCATTCAAACAGCTGTGTCTGGGGCTGTATAACCTACAAATGAGCATACAGCATTAATATAGTTTATTGGCCACCACTGGCCAACTGTATTTTAGAAACCTAGGATGCTTGGCAGCAGGAGCCAACTGTGTCCTAGCAATCAAGGGCTCTGGCTAACATGAGCCATCTGCACTCTAGCAAACAAGGATGCTAGGTGGCAGGAGTTGCTTGCATCCTAGCAACTTAGGATGTTAGGTGGCAGGAGAAGTCTGTGTCCTAGCAACCAAGGATGCTAGGCATCAGGAGCAGCCTACATCCTAACAAACTACAGGTGCTGCCCGTGCCTGCTACCTAGTGCTAGCGATCTAGGGTGCTAGGATCGCCTGCATCCTAGAAACTAAGGACGTTAGACAGCAAGGGCCGCTGGCTACACACCATTAATATTGACAAAGAGCAGTGAACAATAGGGCCTTTGTATGCTGGACCTATGTAAACCTTACAAGTATTACATGAGTACAATGAACAGCCAAGTAAAAATGAATGGAATTACTGCCAGCTTCTGCCAACAAGATCTTTTTTTTACATTGAATGGGGCCATGTAAATATAACTTTAGGACCTATTTACAGTACAGCGCTTTGCGGTAACAGCAATGCACGTTACATGTGTTGGTGGAACTTGATCCCATTCATTTTTAATAGCAGCCCAATGTACCTTTATGACAGATATGCATTGCAGTGCAGTGCAATGAGCGGTAACACACTAATGTGCAATGCACTTCCAGAAATTGTGCATTTTGGTGCATTGGCAGCCCATTTATTTTGATGTCTGCAAGCATTCTAAAAGTTCCCAGAGATGTCACATACTTAGGCATAGAAGTAGCCTTTTCGATAATGTCATTGAGTAGCTTGATCACCCCTGCTCAGATAGCATAGTACATATACATAAATACAGTACATATCTGGCCGAAGACAGAAGCTTGTCTTAATATAAATGTAGAATAAATTACCATCTCATATGTACATGTTCTAGTTACAACCTTTGAAGTCAGATTCATCTAGAATAAAAGCTAAAGTTAAAGATGATGTAAATCCCCTGTATTTGGTGCACAAATGATTGTACATCAAATAAGTCTTATCTTTATTTTCCATCTTTTAAACATGCTGAACAAGGATTTATCTAGAAAATGTTATATTTTATACTGCTATGTCTCTTTGTGACTGACATCAGAAAACATTTGCTTGCCCCGCTCAGTCTTCAGCAAACACTTGTCATGTTGTATCTTTCATCGCTTAAGTTTGAATGACTGCATGTGAATTGCAGCTGTGACCTTACAGCCATGCTTTACATTTTTTTCATGGATAAATATGGGCATATGACGTAGTTTTGCTTTGTTTGTTTTTTGTCATTGCTGAAATATATTCAACAGATAAAAAAGTTTCTTGGTTTCTCAGTTCAGATAAAGTCCCTAAATCAAATCAAAAATGCAAGATTGTTTTTTCCTCAATGGGATGTCCTCCATGCCAAAACACTGTAGGAAAATGAAAAAAAAAAACCTGTTGGGAAAAATGTTAATATACAGTATGTACCTTACCCTGGTTTTTGCCTGCAGTTTCTATGTAGGGATAATGTCACTATCTTTCTGGTGATATCCTAGGCATTGCTGAGTACCTGAAATCTCGTAAGAACACTCTACTGCGGTGCTTCTCAACCTTTTTTCAGCCAAGACACCCTTTAAAATCATGCACAATTTTGAGGCACCCCAGTCTAAAAAAAGTAAATGTTACTTACCATCAGTGGGAAAGCTGAGCCTGGGCTGATACACACGTTGACTTTATTCTGGCAAGGGTGGATGGGAAGCAGTCACAAACCTCCTGGTCCACAGCCCCAAGTCTATAGTAGTTTGTAATGCAGAGTTCAGTGGTCAGTAATTTGTAATGCAGAGTTTCTGGTCAGTAGTTTGTAATGCACATTCTAGAGGTTAGTAATAATTACCAAAGGGTACAGGGGTCAGGAGTAACACAGAGTGCAGAGGTCAGTAGTTTGTAATGCAGATGTCAGTAGTAAGTAATGTTGCCTTCAGAAGTCAATAGAAAGTAATGTAGAGTATAGGGGCCAGTAATAAGTAACGTAGAGTACAGAAGTCAGTAGTTTGTAATTCAGAGGTCAGTAGTAAGTAATGCTGAGTTCAGAAATCTATAGTCAGTAATGCAGAGTACAGGGGTCAGGAGTAAGTAATGCAAAGTGCAGATGTCATGAGTCTGTAATGCAGAGGTTAGTAATAAGTAACAGAGTTCAGAGGTCAGGCATAAGTAATACAGATTTCAGAGGTCAACAATAGGTAACACAGCATGCAGGGGTCAGGAGTAAGTAACACAGAGTGCAGAAGTCTGTAGCTTGTACCACAGAGTTTATGGTCAGTAATATATAAAGCAGAGTTCAGAGATCAATTGCAAGTAATGATGATTATATGGGTCAGGAGCCAGTAATGCAGAGTGCAGAAATCAGTAACTTGTAACAAAGAGGTCAGATATCCGTAGTAAGTAACTCACAGTGTGCAGAGGTCAGGAGTAAGTAACACATTGTTCATGGGTCAGTAGTAACACAGAAATGCTGTTTTATATAAGTACATAACTTAACATACAGTATGTGGACTATCATCCATCTGATATAGCAAACCAATTCCAATTCCATTTGGAGTAGCAATGAAAGAAAACAAGGCACACCTTCAAGGTTTGCAGTGTATGATGAAACTTCATCCTAACTTGCACTTCTCTGATAGGCTTATGTACATTATAGTAGGTCTTACAGAGAGTATGCATCATAGACACTGTAATGGTCTGAGAACAGCTCCTACAAGACTTGGCATTTCATGATAACTTAAAAAAATTTAGAATGTCTTTAGAGCCTCTCCAGGATAACTGTCTCATCTAATCAAATGAATAATTTCACATCTCATGCTGTTTTCTGCCTCATGCTTTGCACACCAGAGAGCATCTCCCATAGTCAACATG